AACCCAAATTCTCCGTTCGCATTGGTTCGCCTAATTTTGAACGTCAATCGTCCTCGACACAGTTTTCGGATAGGAGTAGAGTGCCTGCTGCTGCCGCCTGGCGACAATTCATTTGACAGTCACGAAATCAATTGGAAAAGTGAACAAGCAGAAAGTGAGAGGCGAAATCAAGTTGCATAAATTATCGGGCAAATCAGAGGCGAGAATTGAAACAATGAAGTGCCGGAGGACTGAAACTGTCAATTTGGCAGAACTACAATTGCAGCTCCTGTACGGCCTCGCTGGCAAGTCTCTGCTCTCCATAAAATTTGTCGCCTTTTGTTGGCATTTCTTAACAAGAAAATGCAACCAAAATCTGGCTGAGTAAAGGAGTCTTGCAGATGGTTCCAGTCGGAGACCTCGCTGCCTCGGTGCGGCGTTTGTCGTACATGTGTAAGGGTGCAGTGAAAAGGCCTTTCCTTTTTCCTTTCCAGTTTTTTGTTTGCGTTTTTGCTGGCTTTGGTAGTCTCCGCTCTAAATTGCACTTTATTTGCGGTTTGTTGATTTTATTGCACAACTTTGTTTGCGATTCTGCTTAAATTTCATTACCCGATCCCAACCGAAACGAACTGGGCCACAGGCCATTGGGACAGCCAGCCTGCGAGCTTGGGGTTGAGGATGTTGGATTGAAAATGAATGCCAAAACCTTGATATGAATTAATATTTGAGCAGGGCTGCCAAGTGGGGCAGACATCCAATGGACAACCAAATGGGGCGAGCTGAGGGGAGAGCAAGTGAAAGAGTTGTGGGCATCGAATGGACATTGGTTAAATGGGTCACTACAACGCGATTGATGGTTCGGATTTCGGTATTAAATGACAGCTTTAAGTGGGGGAAACTTATGCAACTGCCAGAAGTCGCAGAGACCCTAAGAACGGGTTCGCTGAACCCTTACGTCGTATGCTTGATATTTTCATTCTGTGAAGGATCCCCTCGAAGGACTGACACACTCTCCACCGAAGCCAAGCCAACCCGTGGCAAAGCCAAGGCAAAGGTTAACACAACTCAAAATCAACTATAAACCCTGGGAAAACAGAACTGAAACACGAAACATGAAAAATCAAAACAAATAAGCAAACAGGCAGACAAACAAAGTGCCAGGAAAATTAAATAAAATCCGCACAAACAAAGAGCTGACTGTGGTTGGGTACCATAGAGAGAGAGAGAGAGAGAGAGTAAACAGGGGGCTGGGGAATCATCTGAAAAGCTTCGCACGAAACAGAGAGATACAAAGATACTGGAGCAGGCCACTTAGATTGCGGCTGGCACAGCCACAACAAATGTGTATCTTTGTGTGAGAGAGTATCTGTGCATCTGTGAGTGTGTGTGTGGACTTTGTGTTTGTGATAAAAATAAAGCAATTGAAGGAGCACGCGACAAAGGCCAACAGCAAAAAGATACAGAAACAACAATGGCCTGATGCCAGAGAGAGGGACAGAGATGGTGCAAGGATGAGACGGGGAAAGGCAGAAAAGTGGGCGTGGAGTGGGAAAATTAATTACCCTTCCTTTTGGCTTCAGTTTTATTTTGTTTACCATTCTCATTTAATTACCGCCAGCGCACTAATCGGAATGCTTTAGCTTAATGTATGTTATAGATTTTCATTTGTGATGCCAACATTTATATTGAATTGTGCGAAGATTAGAAACCAAAGCGTATAATTGTTATAATCGATTTAAATGAGTTCCAATTGTGAAGAATTAGTTATAAAACATTTTATGAAATGTGAAAAATGAAAGACATGGAAAATATTTCAACGATTAAGAACATTTATTCCATCAAATCTGATTCAAAATCTTGAAATAATCGACCGTCTAGCACCCGTTTATTGGACAAAGAATAAATTTAAAAAACGTCTGAAATAAGTCCAATATTTTCAATTTGCATTTGCAACAAAAAACTAAACAAATTCCCCGCCCTTCACGACGCTGAAAAGTATGCAAGTCCACAAACATTTTGCGTATACGTAATCAAGGAAATTATTCATTTAACTAAAATATGAAAATATTATTAATAAAATATTAATTCAGCAGCTCGAAACATTCGGTCTGCTGTTTGGCCAAAGATCCTGGAGGCTTTTGCTGCATGTGCTGCAGCCTCGACCTGTCTGCACCTCGCTGCGTGCCAAGCGCGAATGCCTCGATGTTCGAGCAGCCTGCCTGCCTGGCTGGCATTATCAGCGTTGTTCATTCATAACGAGAGGGAAAAACAAAAAGGAATACCAAGCAAAAAAAAAGAGCCGAGCAGGAGTTGCTCCAACTTTGTCGTTCGTGCAGCTGCGCGTCGGGTGCGCGAGGTAGAGAGGTTTGGAAGTCACTGGAAGGACAAACAGGGATAACTGCAATGGAAGGCAGGTATTCTGGCGAAACCAGAGCAATTTGAGAGTAAGTTAAAAGCTCGCAAAAAGAGCGACTGTTAAGAGAAAGCTGCCTACAAGTGTCCCGAGCCAAAGAGCTAGGCTCGGCACAGGACTCTATGCAGCATCTCTCTCATTCTCTCTTTTTGACTTCTCTTGAATTCCACTCTCTATGTGTGCCTTCTTCGCTCTGAGGGCGCCCTGTAGTTTTGCGTTTGTAAAAGCCATTTTTCATTCATGCGAATTTACTTTAAATTAATTTTTTTGTGGGGTCATAAATCATTTTTGGCTCTACGCATGCTGAGTCTCTATGTGTGAGAAGAGAGAGTGCTGACGTGTCTGTGTGTGTCAGCTCGTATTAGTATGAGTGCAAGCTCTTTAGCCTGTATTTGTGGTGAGTGCATGAATGAATCCGTTTTGTGTACTTTCAAATACTTTCAAATTAGTTTCGATTGCATTGAAGGATCTCTATTGCAGGACAGTAGGTCAAGCAGGGCAAGTTACAGCGGCATAGGAAATCGAACCTGTATTATAATATAATATTCTAATACAGAACAACATTTAGCAGCGTTTAATGTTGGTGTTCCATGACTTTTATGTGTGTATTTTCAAATAATCTAAGTATTATCCATCGAAGCAACAAACTGTTTTAAATTTTGAGCAAAGAGTTTTACTGATGAAAACTCTTAACGCTCTTAACTCTTGATCTAATGGTTCGTGTTGTTATGCCTGTATCAATATTTTTGGCCATTCTTTATCTATCTCAACTGACTAACCCATTTCTCATGGAAAGTATCTAACATCTGGGGGGTGACCACACACAACTACCAACGCAATGCGAATCGACAGAAGCACGTCTCTATTGCCAGCACCACTCCCCACCTCCTCGATGAGCATCTCTCTAGGTTAGCTAACACCATGAAAGCTAGGCTCAGCCTTCATGAGAGAGGTGTTGAGGGAGTTCAAGAGAAATATAGATAGAGAGGGAGAGGGAGAGTGAGAAAAATACTTTTTGCGCATCTCCAGAACTCTCTTACAGCCTCCACGGGGTAAGCGACAGGACAGAGCTTTGAGGGAAGAGCTTTTAAGCTTCTTCCAGGCACAGGAGTCACGAGTCCTGACGACTCGCTAGGACTCGTGGATGGCCACATCTTCCAGCCTTGGCTCTGGTAAAATCTCCTGACCCCCCACCTACATTCGCCGAGCCCCGAGCCAGAGTCGTTTTTCTGCACAAGGATGTTTCGTTGGATGCTCGGGCTGGGCTCGCTGGTAGTCGTCGTCGTTGCCTCTGCAGTCACTTCCAGGGTTGCCTGGCTGCCACTGTTGGACGAGCATCGGATTCAGTTGGTGTTCCGGTTTCGGGTTGTGCTGTCAGTTGCCTTTTTCTCCGTGCACAGCCACTGAGAGATTGTGTTCCATCAGCGGAGTGTCGCGTCGCATTGGTCGTGGTCCGTAGCCGTGTCCGTGTCCGTTTGTGCGTGTGCGTGAGCGTGAGCGTGAGTGCGTGCGAATGTGTGTTGTGTGTGTGTTTTGTGTGTGTGTGTGCCTGTTGTCTGTCGCTGACGGTGCGCGCGCGTGTATCTGTGTGTGAGTGTGTGCGTGCGTGCGTGAGTGCGTGTACTGTGCACTACAATGCCATATACATAGCCATATACTAATACATGCCTACCCCACACACATACATAAATGCATGGAAATAAGTTAGAAAACGTTGCTCGAATACTCGTGTGTACCACCAGACCATCAAGCCATCAGACCAGCAGGTAAAATAACCAAACTATTCATGAATATATATGGTACAAATATCGTTTAAACGCGTGCGTGGGCACGTGTGTGTGTGTATTCTAGAGATGGAACTGCGTGAGTGAGTGTGTGTGTGTGTGTGAACCTTCCAAGAGGAGGAAATTGATATTCTTATTTCTTCTTGTGCAAAATACATATGTATACACTCCCCCCCACACCCCTCTCTCTACACGCTTTTCTCATGTGTAAATTTTGTGAAAATTCCATCAGCATCAACCTCAAATCATCATCATCATCAGCATCAGGATGATTGTCCTCATCGCAACATTGTAGTACACACACACACACACACACACACACACACACACACACACACACACACACACACACACACACACACACACATCTATTCATCTATTTTTTACTTTTATTTTCCCCTCATCTTTCATTTTGATTTTTATTATTTTCTATTCGATTTGATGGGCCCGCAAATGTTTTGCCAAATTTCTAATTGACCATCAAGGCGATGCTGCTTCAAAATGGAAAGTATCTTGCGGATACATGTCAAGTGCAACTCTCTCGCTCGCTCTCTCTCTCTCGCCTTCTCTCTCTCTCTCGCTTCTTTTGTTCGCTCTTTGTGCAGGTGAAGGTGTGTGCGTGTGAGTGTGTGTATAACAGGTGCCAAAAAATAAATGGCAATGGTTACTTTTATGTTCATATTGTGTGTGTGGGAGTAAAACCGAAAGATATTTTTTGGGGCATTGTCAACAAGTGAGAAAATCGTGATGATTGCCTGCTGAATAATTTGTGATATGTGAAATTAATTAAATTCCATTTTGTTCCTCTCTTTTCCGCCCTGCAGCCACCAGCAATGGATGACAGAACTAAAATAAAACAAAAACTATATAAATGAAAAAAATATACACATAATTTAAGTCTAAGCAATATTTATTCTGATTGAGTGAGAGGAAATACAAAAATCCAACAGTGCGCGAAAAATAATCGAAAATCGAACACTGCGTGAAATAATCTTTTATAGTAAGACTCTAAAAACCCGAAACAAATATTACTAAAGCAATGAAAAAAGGCTTAAAACATGAACTCAACCAAAAACAAACTGCACAAAATAAACTATAAGCATTAAACAATAATGATGACGAGGAGAGATATTTCAAATATGTTGTATATATTTTAAAATATATTCAAACGATGTAAAACTGTGTACCCCATTGGGCGACAAAAGATTTTAAAATCAGTTTTAATACGCAGCAACAACCGAAGGAAATCAATTGGAATACAAATTTTCTATCATATAGAAAATATACTTAACGTAAATTGTTATAAAAAAGCAGCGAATGCCGCTTACATTTTCAATAAGCTGTCAAAACACGCACAAGATTGATATAATAAATACCAAGGAAAATAAAAGATATATTGTGGAAATTTGTTCACGCAGATTTAACTGAATCATTCGATCCACTTGATACATAGTCGTACATATGCATAATCCGATAAACTCATCTAACTAAGTAATAATCATTATTGAGCTCAAGTTACTGGCATTACATTCATAAAATCTCAATAAGTCACTGGAGACTAATTTGATAAAGTATTTGAAACAGAGAAAAAACCAAGTTTAATGAATAAAACAATAAATGGAGCATTTTTAATAACAATTATTCACCTAGATCAACTAACTATTTATATACCAATTGGATCGCCTAATAATATTGAATGCAAAATTAAAAGGAAAGATAAAAGAGGTGAGTGTGAAGTATACTATAAAAGCAACACAGTGACAAATAAATAGTTAGAGATATGGATGCCTCTTATTTTATTTTTTTTTAAATTATAATTAAATGCATTTTCAGAGCTGAACGCAAAATGTTGTTTTGAATTCGGTTTCAAAAAGATTGATTATACATTTAAAACTTAAAAATATTTAATTTACGCTTTAAAGTGTAAAATTCATTACGAATTCTATTTTTGTATATGCTTGCATCTCCATTGACAATGTAGTTTCAAAAAACAAAGCCTGATACACGCCCATTCGAAAGCTAAAAAACATCTCTCTCTGACTGACTCTGACTGAGTGCCGGGCATACAATTTTTGACGCGTCTCACAACGTACCTCCTCGTTTCTACTCTGGCTCTGGTGGCTCCCTTTCGACGAGTTCCGTATACCCTAGAGGTTGCCTTGCCTGTCCCCGTGTGCGAATATGAGCTTGATTTGCCTTTTGGTTTATTTTTTCTGGCAAGCATTTTAAAATTGTTCCATTGACCTTTGAAGACCGCACAGACACATTCAAATACACAGCTGTTGGGTGGTTGGGCGGTGCTGAGTGGGTGATCCGAGAGCAAACAGAGAGAGAGAGAGAACCGCAGCAGCAGCGGTGGTGTCGGTGGTGGCGGTGTTGGTGGTGGCAGCCACTCCGAGGACAATAAAAAGCAGCGAACAATTGCCAAATAAATAACTTGACGCACGCTCCGTCTGTCCGTCTGTCCGTCCGTCGGTTTGTTTGTTTGCTCTGGTGCCGTGGTTTTTGGTCTTTGCTTGGTTTTCATTCTCAGTCTCATTTTCATTTCGCATAGCACACGCACATGGACACATTTGCTATCAAGTTGCATATTAAAAGTGCTCCAGCTTCCTGTTTTTGTTTCCATCTCCTACAGCCGCTGCTCATTTTGGCCAGCCGCCACACCACTACCCTGCACTTGGCTCTTTTTCATTAATAACATGACACAATTCGTGCTGCATTGTGTCCCAGGCCTACTGCGCCTGAGAGCACTTTTGGCATTGCCGCCTTCTTATCCTCATTATGCTCATTTCGAGGCTTTGTCTTTTGCCCAGATCCAGACCTACCATCCAGGCACAGGCAGCTTCTTTAGCCATTTCTTTTCATCATTCATTCGGCCAGACTCCGCCATGCCAGCACACCCACACGCTAGGTGTGTGGGGCGTACACTCATCAGAATATTCAAATGCAAAAAGCCAGCCAGAGAGAAGACAGCAGAAACAAAAGTGCAACTGTGAGTGTGTCCTATGGACGTGTTTAATACCCTTGAAAGCTCACAAGTCATAGGAAGTGCGTAGAGTTGTTTGTCCAGCCAGAACAGAACAGAACAGAACAGAAGTGATAATTGATCATTTTGGCGAATCCTTTAACGTTTATAGTTGATGAAAATAATTCTACAAATATTCATGCATAATAGTTCAATAAATTGAATTAAAAAATAAATAATTTAGTAAGAGAGAGTATTTCAGAAAGTTATATCTTTGCCGTTGTTGTCCGTGTTGCCTTCGCTTTGGCCGACGATGTCCTTAATTATGTGCCAGCAGCCCTGACTGACTGCCACAGTGGCACACTGCCACACTGACTGCTGAAAGGACACTCACATACACACACAAACATACACACACTGACAAAGTCTGCCACACGTTGGCATAGGCGTTGTCAGGCTCGGCACTCGCGGCTGTTCGGCTCGTGGTGGACTCGCGGCTGAGTACGATGTGTCGTGCTGTTCCTGTCGCGTCGCGTCGCGTCGCGTCTCCCGTGGCAGAGTCCTTGTTGCGCTTGTTTTATCGCTCTTGTTGGGCCGTTGTTGATGAGTGTCGCAGCTGCCGCTGTTGTTGTTGCTCTTGTTGGTCCTCTCTGAAGTGCGCTCTTGTGAAGGGTGTCATGTCCGCTTAGTTGTTGCCGCTCTGGCGTGCCCCTCTCCTCTGCTGTTTGCCACTGTACTTTGAAGCGACACCGCCGACGTCGTCGCCGCCGCTTGCTTACTGCTTATTTATGTATGAAGGACCTTAAACTTTCCAGCAAATGAAAATGGCCGCAGCCCACCTGAAGAGACATCAGCGATGGGTGGGGGCAGCACATGAAAAATACGAGAATATCTACAACAAATGGCGTAGCTGCTTTTTAATCACAGCCGGCGACGCAGTTTTCAGTTTTCAGCATTCAGCTTTCAGTTTCTCTTTTCCATTTGCAAAGTTTCTCACGTGTGCTCTCCCGCCCTGCCCATCCTCCTCCTCCACAGCATCCTTGTAGTCCGACACACAAAGGATGATACACAATGCTCACTTTTTTGTTCCCCTGCAGCTTCCCCTCAGCTGGCTGCGTTTCTTCCATTAACCTTCACTTCGCGAATGAAAAATGAATTTAAGGTTAACAGTTCTCTGAGTAATTTTCTTTTTACACCTTTCATTTTTGTTTAGTCCACTTAATTTAAGTCGAAACTAGGCCAGGGCAGAGGTTGTGCTGTTAAATATAGACGCGCATAGTGGACAGCGGAAAGGTCAGCCAAGCTGACAAAAAGTTAAGAATTTTTTACCACCGAAAAAAGCAAAATGTACGGCAAGCATCATTCAGTTGCTGAAGTAAATGCTGAAGTATGTTAAGTTCCTCGGAATGAATGGGAAGTGCATTTTTTTGCATTGCATTAACAATTTTTTCGAAAATAGTCTCTGATGATAAGAAAGGATTGATCTCTTACTAACTATTTACTGACTGCTTGTCAACAACATTAAATTAGGCAAAGATATTACCAAATATTTGGTTAATGGAATATTATTCCATCTCAGTCTTTCAAATATATACAATCCGAGCTACAGCGCATCAACAAGACCAGCGTTAACCCAGGATGCTGTGCACACAGCCAGACCTTGGTCTCAGGCCATAATTTAGGCAATTTTAGTGCTCATTCGAGGATTTGTGTGCTAATCTATAATTAAAATTATTGTCATATCATTTGGGAACTGAAAACTTTTGTGTGGCCGAAAGTTTTCGCAGCACAAGGCAAGGAAGGTGAAAGAGAAGGCCAAGCCATGAAATACCTTAACATGCTGCCAGTTAAACTGTCCATGACCAAGTTTTGTACCTCTGCGTCTACCTCTGCCTCTGCGACTTCCATCCAATCAAATCCCATTCCAAGGCGAAGCAGCAGCGGCTACGTGCCTGTGCATTTGAGCAGCAGATGTCACATGGCCAGGCCCCAAACTTTTTGGCCGACAGCAACTTAGATAATTTAACAGAGTGGGGAGCAAAGTAAGGTGCAAAGGACTTCCTTTACAGACTTTTGGCTGGTTTTCCCTACGTGAGATAATGCAAATTTATAGCTGGCAATTAGCGGGTCGGGAGTCGCAACCTCAGCCGAGGCAATAACTTAGGCCAAAATAACTTTGACTGGCTATTTCCCGAGCCTAATTGCAGTTGGCAAACGTGAGAAATCACGTGGATGAATTTTCCGACTGAGGGACTGAAGAAGGAGCCCTGCACGGTCTGCTGTGACAATCCACAAATCCAGTTAGCGTAACCCTCTGAACCATTAATTATCCTGGGAGGCGCTGTGCATATGTGAGGCTGTGGGCTGCCAAATACTCGTAGATACCAGATACAAGCAAAGGGTGCCTGCAGATACAGATGAAAAGGCAGATACGGGTTGCTTCTGTCTGTCAGTGGCACATGCCGAGCAGCGGCGAGTTTGCCGTTTATCTGTTATCCAACAGTTACACTTTTCACACACCAACAAACACCCACAAAAGATGCTCGCTCCCCGTGCCGTATCTGTATCTGGGATATACACACACTGAAACCCACACAGAAAGTCGCTGGGAGAGCGGGAGCAAGGCATCAGTTGCAATCTGACTTCAATTCAATTATTTTAGATTAGAATGTGACTGTGTCACACACACTTTTGTCTCTCTGTCAGCTGTCATTCATCCGTTCATATGCTCCATAAAGGGGAGCCCCAGCCCCGGCAGACAGAACGGGAGCGGGGGGTCTTCTGCGGGCCAGGATACGTGCCCTTTACGGCGCCTGTTGTTGCATTGACAGTTGCGTACCGCACATGTGTGTGTGGGTGTGTGTGTGCCTTTTGGGTTCACAGTGAGTGTTTGTGTGTGTGCTCTACATTGTCCCAGGGATCCTGACTTGAAACGAGCGTGACAAAAGTAACAAATGCCACAGGCCCAATGACGTCAGAACTGCTGTGGCTAGAAAAAACACACACACAAGTTCTGCTCTACAAAAAAATATAATCATATCAGAAACCATGAAAATTGATTTGCTTGAGAAAAGATTCTGGCAGTTATTGACCTTCAGCATGTTGGGGGAATATATTTTCATGCAGATGATGGACCATTATTATGGTAAAAACTATTAAAAAAATGTTTCTTAATTTCATTTACCTCTTGGGAGCCGAGTATTCAAAACCCCCAAACGGCTCATTATCTAAAGACGACCATGCATTTCTTATCAGCATAGTTTCTGTCACATATATTCTGCCTCAAAGGAGACTCTTTGCCTTGATTCCCATAGTGAAAAGGTTACACCGAAGCGGTGGACCAAATGCAGGTACAGACACCTGATTCTGCAGGTAGAATCCCAGTTGAAACCTGTTGATAAATCTAAGATGAAAAGTGAGAAAACAAGAACTGGTTTGGGTTTGGAAAATATTTTGTGGCCTGCGCATGAAAGCGGAATATATTTTCTGTAAAAACTGCCCGCTGATTGCGATTAAATGTGCACAGTCTTAGACGGGAGGTTAGCTTATCGCGCTTACAATAGTTCCGCTCTATGACGAGTCATGTGGGAATGAGCTGCGCTACTCAATGAACAACAAATGTATCTTAATGCGATTTGCACGTTATCAGTGTCAGTATGCGTATGCGGGCGACTTATTAAGCGGGCATTATGATAGCAACATAAAAGAGAAAGACATGAAAGACAGATACATAAATGTAGCTACGAGTTTGAGGGAGAGA